CCCACACGCGTAAAGCACGTTGCGCGCACACGTAAAGCACGCGCGTAAAGCATGTTGTGCAGACGCGTAAAGCATGTTGCGCAGACGCGTAAAGCATGTTGCGCAGACGCGTAAAGCATGTTGCGCAGACGCGTAAAGCATGTTGCGCACGCGTGTAAAGCATGTTGCGCACGCGCGTGCGCAACATGCTTTACGCGTCTGCGCAACATGCTTTACAACATGCTTTACGCGTCTGCGCAACAAAAAATGAACCATTAGTGCCGTAAAAAAAAAAAAAAACTCAATCTGGAAATGAAAATATAAAACCAGTCATAAATGAATAGATAAATACATTTTTAAATATATATTTAATAAAAAAAACAAATTTTTGAGGGGGAATTTCTATTTACATTATTTTTTTTTTTTTTGTTTTAAGAATTTTTTTTTCAAATTTCCATAACATGTTTTTTTTTTTTTTTTCATTTACAAAAGTGTTTTTATTCCATTTGTTTGTTTAGTTTTTCCTAATTTACATTTACAGAGTGTTTTTCTACTTTTTATTTCTATTTACAAAACCTTTTTATTTGTTCTTTGACTGCAGCAATAATGGACCAAAAGTTACTCCATACAGCTGCAGCCCTTTAGTGGAATAAAAAAAGTTTAGCTGAGGCTTTTCTAGCTGCCAGCTCTGACTGTGGACCTCACATAGAGCAGAAACCTTTGGCTCTTTTTCCTCCTCCCTGTTTATTTGAACTAGAACCGTGGCGTGCATCAGGTTATTAATGACGCTGGTAGTAATCGGGAGGTTCTAGACTTAGCACTGCCGGTTTGATTATTTAAACAAGCTCTCGTTGTTTTGTCTTGCCACACACAGATGAGACGAAAAGTTGTCACTGACTTATTAAACTTCCTAAGCAATCGACAGTTCTGTCTCCCCCTGGAGATTGTTTGACAAGCTCAGTTTTAAGGTTTCCAATTTGTTTCTATAAGAGCTAATGAGTTATTATGGTGCGTCTGATGGATGTTTCCCTGTGTTCTGTTAACGTATAGGCCGCAGGAGTTGGCATACAAGTATGGCAACCTCAGCGAAGGGGTCTGTAAACCGGGATACGCAGCAGCCAAGATGACATCCATCTATCCGAAGTGAGTTCTCTGCTTTATCTAAGTGCTTTTCTTATACATGACAAGAGATTCAACAAAAGCCAGATCCTGAGATGTCTTCATGGATTTGATGTGTAGATGTTAATGAGTTGCGCTCCATCTCAGGCATGCCGAGATACATGATGTCACTCCTATAGCCTGGTACGGCCTAAAGGCTTTTTGGTCGAAAAGAATCTGCATTCCTTTCCAATCTGATCCTACTATCAATCGTGTTTTTATCGTCTACTTCTCAGCCACAAGAACTCAACTGTGTTCGTGTTCGGTGCACAATAGAACATTTGTCACCCAAACAAAGGTCCACCATCTTTCCTCCGCCGTATCATAGAGCCTTTAAAGACTTCTCTATGGGCGACACACGCTTCCTGTCCTGATTCATCCACCAACCAACCCCCCCCCGATCCGCACGGTCCTCTGCAGCCTGATGTCATTTCTTCGTTTGATTCTTTCTTCTTTTTTTTGCACCCCTCAGGGCGTTCATTTGCTGTTCAGCATCTCAGCTTGATCTATAGGACACTGTTTTATTAGCATTCTAAGGCTAAGCATGAACACTGGAAAAAACAATCTAGAAATAAGTAAAAATGTCTTAAATTAAGTGTATTTACACTTAATTTGAGTAGGAAAATTAGACAGTTTGCCAATGGAGTATTTTTACTCTTAAAACAAGATAATTAGATAATATGCATGTGAAATAAGATAATGCAATTGTGTTTTCTTATTTTAAGTGTAAATTGTCTTGTTCCATTGGCAAAATGTATCTTTTACCTCCTCAATCCAAGAACAAATGCACTTATTTTAAGAAAAAATGACTTGATCTAGATTTAGATATTTTTCCAGTGAACAACTTCTGGAAGATGTTCCAGAAAATAGATCCGAATTAGTAAAAAAAAAGGGAATTAAAGGAAAAGTCCGCTCATATTCAGAATTTAACTTCTAAAAGTAATTTAAATATGAAATTATTCCATATTGTTCAATAAATGATCAGTGTTTTTAATTCAGAGCAATTTAATTTGAATGTGCTTTACTGGAGGCATCCATGTTTGTTAAAAAAAAAAACACTATTGCCACCTTCCACCTCAAACATATTAG